CAGTAGCATGTGAGATATCCGTAGATAATCTAGTAGAGATGTTCAGTAAGTGGCTTGAACTCAAGAGAAAGGAGTAGGCTGGAAATGTCCTCAGGATATAGGTGGTGTTTGAAGCCATGGGGGGAATGCAACTGCCCACAGAGAATCTAAGGAGGATGAAGTAGATGAATGGGAGAAGAGGACCCTGAAAAGCAGATCAAGAAGGAACAACTAAAGAAGTAAGAGGTATAAATCAAAAGAAATCAGACTGTGGAAGCTAAGGAAAAAAGGATTTGCAGGAGAGAATCATGACTAGTGTCTAATGCCCTCAGAAGACACCCAGTGAATTTGGAAGATGTGCTTTGCGTTTGGCAGTTAGGAAAGACATGCTCGGGGATCAGGGTGTTCCAGCCAGGGGAATGCAGAGAGCAAAAGTGATGCCACAGTGGCTTAAGAGCAAACAATGGGTGAGGAAGTGGGGAAAAAAAACAGATGAGGAGTTTTTTTTTTTTTTTTTTTTCAACTCAGCAGTGAATGGAAGCCAAAAGCACATTAGGTAGAGTGCGATGAGGAATGAAGAGAGGGAGGATTTGTGTGTGTTAAGGTAGGAGGTAATTTGTATCTAATCCTGTAGAGAGGGCTGCCTAGTTAAATGGAGGAGAGAAGAACAATGTCCCTGAAACTGCAGCATGAGGACACACAAACATGATACTGAACATCCAATAGGAGGTGGCTATCCTATTACTGCCAAGAGAGACAAGGTGGGAAAAATTGGCACAGTCTGAATACATTTGTAAGGGTGAAGGGTTTCAGAGACAAGACATTGGAGAGTTCCTAGCATTTAATATTCTCTTGCCTCTTAAAGGAGGCAGATTCTTCAGTTGAGTAAAGATGAACATTAATGGTTGATATGCAGGTGGTATTACACAACTGTAGGCACTTAATTTGACAACCTGCTAACTACGAAGTAAAGTGTCTTTGAACAAATGTCAGTGGTAAGAAGCCATAGCCATGCCACTGTGGAGCCTTAAAGGAAATTCAAAGACTTTCTATTCTGTGTTGTGCGTGAAAACCGTTAAGTTTTATAATCACCTTATGCTTTTATCCATCTTCTTTCCGTACATAAAGCAAATTTTCTTTGTATTTAGTACTCATGTGATCATAATTTCCAAAACGACTTCCTTCTAAACTCCTATGGTCAAAGAACTATTATTGGAAAGAGGGAGGGAGAAAGAGAATGAGTGTGTGTGTGTGTGTATCTCAGTTCTTTTCAGCCAGAGACCATCAAGAACATACCTATAGTTGAACAAGTTGAGTTTATTACTCATTGCAGCAAAGAGAATGCACATTGTATGATACCATGGGGCATCTCAGTAAGATGGTGTTAGACCTATCATAGAATTTGGGCTTTGGTTGGATAATTTTAGGGAGGATCTGGGGAAGCAAGGACTTGCTCTGTATTGGGTGCTGTTAGAAGAAAGGACAATTCTGTGACTGAGTATCTCATTAAATCTTACTGGGAGCACAGAGTAGATTGAGGAAAAAGCTGTAATTGGTAAAGTCATTCAATGAGTGTGAGAGGAGGATGTCTGGTATCTTGTGGATTGCACAGTGAACTTGTTTTTGTGTCACTTTACCATAGTCTCAGAGTGACTTTATTTGAAACAGATATTGTCTGAGATTATATCCCAGAGAAGAACACAGGTCTGACTGTGAGCATCAGACCAGCTTATAATAATAATGAGATCTAGCTGTTAAAGTCAGATCAATTCTGGACTTCAGATACAGCCTCATTTTTCATATATTCATATTCATATGTACATATTCATGTATATATATACACACATACACATTTATGTCTTAGTTTAACTCTAATTTATAAATGAGATGCTTAGCTTTTCCTTCTTTGGGTGAGTGTAGTTTTAATATGTATTGGCAAAAAATTTAAAAATCCTTTCAGAGTGTAATATTTTATGAGGATATCAAAACTCATTACTTGAGGATATACTTTTTCAGCTGTATCAATAGCATAAAATGCACTGCTGTTTGTTACGTTATTGGGGAGTGAGCAGAAAACAAAACATTCTTGCATTGATCCAAGTAGGGAGTAGGTGGTGGTGAGGACACAGAGGGTGGACATTTTGAGAAATATTTAGAAAAGAGAGTGGACAGAGCTTGATGTCAGAATGTAGTATGTAGGGAAGCCAGAAGAGTGAAGGATGATGCCTGGGTTTCTAGCTGAGTAAGTTTCAGTAGGAAGTGATGTTCCTACCAGGATAGGGAAGAAGGGGGAAGTGACAAGTTGGCAGGGGGGTAACAAATCTTAAACCAGAATTCCTACAGTAGCAAGAATCTGGTTGAGGGGAGGCTGATTGCTTCTAATCAATCTTGTAGGTGCCTACTACCTAACAGAATAATAATTTATTATTTGGTTAACAGCAAGAGCTCTAACTGCCCAAGGAAACAAAATCTTAAATTCTTTTGTCAGCATGTTCTCTCCTGATAGGCAAATCTATGTAAGTGACAAAATTGCCATCAGGAGATTGTTTGATCAGGGTGGGGACGTAACAAGGGAAGCTAGCCTGGGTATCTTGGTTGCTATGGTTATCAAGGTATGACATCTCTACTGTAGGGTTTTATGTGCCCAGTATATGGAAACACAGGTGTGACCTCAAAACCGTGTTTCGAGCCTTTATGCTGAAATGTTGTATGCCAAAGATGCCAAAATGGATATCTGCTGGTTCAAAACTTTACATTTTATAGAACTGATCTACAAGTTTTTAATAGAAACAGTATGAAGGGAGGAGGGGAGAAAAGGAGGGAATTAAAATATGTCTGTAACCACACATAAACAAATTAAAGGACAGACTTCCTTTACCTATTTTCATTCTGATGTCCTGAACCTGTATAAAGAAGCAAAATACAGATTAATTTAAAAGGCAGCTGGCCTCATTGATATGTCAACTGTGCAGGGTCGATCAAGGAAATCTGACATACTAAATTCGCTCTTGTTTTGTTTCTTTTTATCATTGTGTTTTTGCTTTATATTGGGAAAGGCTTTTCCCCAGCTGACTTCTCCCTACCCTTGGAAAAAAAAAAATCACTGTCTCTTGCTGAAATTTCCTTTTCTTTCTTCCATCTTAATATTTTGAATCAGAACATACAATTAAATTTTATTTAGAGCTTTTCAATGTGAGACTTGTGTTCTCTATACAATTAAAGCAAAATCGTGTTTATTTTTGCTTGTAAATACGTCCATGTGATGTATAGTTCTGTTTTATTAATTTCATATGTGTATTTGAAACTACATGCCATTTTCCCAGATGATTATACTGTGAAAGGTCATTTGGATAAACCTACAGAGATGGAAAATCCCTAACTAAGTGGCAGTTGCTGTGCTAGCTTTCTGATTACTGGTGTGGAAGCAGCAGGAGAGCTGTGGCTGCTTCCCTCGTTTTCTTGGACAGTGGCCTAATTATACCTTTAAGTAGAAGGCTTTACTCCTCTTTTCAGACCCTTCTTACATGCCTGATCTGTTACTGAATTGTTCACGTGCCCTTGGGAGTCTTTAAGTTCTCCGTTCATCAGGATCTTAAGAACATCCTGATAGTAGTTAAATATGATATTTATATTAATAGGTTTTCCTCGGGCATTGTCTTTCACTGTTTTGGTTATTTTTGTTTTAAGCATGAACAGCCCGTAAGGCTTGTATCATATGACTAGTCTATTACGAGTGAGACTGTTACACTGAATATGTGAAAAAATACTGGATTCTTTTTGAGTTAGAAGATATTTTAGAGAAAATCTTAGAGTGTAATCCTCTTGCCCTGTATGCCAAAAGGTGAGAATAAAAGAATTGGGTGACTTCTGAGTTTCCTGAAAGAAAAAGTATGATTTTTAAATATATAATTATGAATTAGGATTTTCAGAATTATAATCATAAAAATCATTACTTTTCAACCTATAATTTTGGGACTTAAAATTAATGAACATTGAGTTGGTAAACCAATCGACAAATAGTATACTTTTTATGTTTTAATAAAAATAAGCAGAAGGCTGCATGAATAATGAACACATTTTATTTATTTTTCAAAAAGATTTATTTATTTTAGGGAGAGAGAGAGCACACCTGCATGCGAGCATGAGTGGGGGGGAGGGGCAGAGGGAGAGGGAGAGAGAGGGAGAGAAGCAGATTCCCCGCTGAGCGCAGAGCCCAGCATGGGACTACCCCGAGATCATGAACTGAGCCAAAATTAAGAGTCAGTAGCTCAAATGACTGAGCCACCCAGACACATTGTTTTAAACTATTTAACATCCTTTCCCATTTAAGTAGGTATAGAGAAGGTTGTCTTTTTGAATTAATTATTTTAAGTTCACATTCTTTAATTAAGAAATAAAATGCCTGAAGTAAATTTTTTCAAGCTGTCAAAACTCTTCATTTTTGCAGTAATTCATTAATTGAGTAAATGATACTATGACTAAATATATTTTAGACAGCTATGTGAAGATGGAGTAATCATTCTTCAATTAGGACTGAAATTTGTAGTTGGAAGAAGAAAAATAGTTTTATTTCTTTATATGAATATATTGTGATATAATTACTTCTTCCAGAATGGGATTTTTTTTTTTAATTAGTTAGTAGATTTTGGAATTAGGAAGTACTCTAGAATTAATCTGATTCAACAGCTTCAATTTACAATGATACTGAGAACCAAAGTGCAGAGGAATTATCCATGGTGACATATTTGATCAGAATAAAGCCCAAGTCTCTCTTGTTTCATTTGTCTAGTGCTTTTCACGCTGTAATGTGTGTTATTTTCTCTCTCTCAAAACCAATCTAGATGTTTAAATAGAAAGGGAGGATGGGCAGAATGCCAAAAGAAAAGGATGTGAATCCCCCTTTTCAGTGAACCTGTTAAGTTTAGGAGTTCATTTAATGGGTCTTCAGCATTTGTTCTTAAGATACAGTGCTTCTGTGGTGGGGATAATCATGCTAATTAAACTGATTTTTTGCCTTTTAGGTGAGAGTTACGTGTGTGCATCAAATGAACCATTTCGTAAAGTTGATTACACCAAAAATATTAATCCGAACTGGTCTGTGAACATCAAGGGTGGGACAACCCGAACCTTGGCTGCTCCCTCCTCGGTGAAAAGTGAAGTGAAGGAAAGTAAAGATTTCATCAAACCCAAATTAGTGACTGTGATTCGAAGTGGAGTGAAGCCTAGAAAAGCCGTGCGGATCCTTCTAAATAAGAAGACTGCTCATTCCTTTGAACAGGTGTTGACAGATATCACCGAAGCCATTAAACTGGATTCAGGAGTGGTCAAGAGGCTCTGCACGCTGGATGGAAAGCAGGTAAGAGGGTTCCTAGCCCTCGGCTCTCCATCTCACTGTTAAACTCTCCCTGTATCATGGTGGTTACATATTTGACAGAAAGAATTTCAGAGTTTGCTAGAAATTATTCGTATACTTCTACTTGAGAGGTGTGTGTGTCTGTATTAGCTTTTATCATGAAAAATGTAAGTGGCTTACCTGTGTCTTTGCCCAAACATCTTAAAGGTGTATGTGGAAAAATCTGTATATCTTATAGTCACTGAAAGGGAAATGTAAACAACTTCGCTTTTTTTTTTTTTTTAAGTTTGTATTTAAATTCCAGTTAGCTAACATACAGTGTGATATTAGTTTCAGGTGTATGGTCTAGTGATTCAACACTTCTATACAACACCCAGTGCTCATCACAACAAGTTTACTCCTTAATCCCCATCTCCTATTTAACCTATCCCCTCACCCATCTCCCCTCTGGTAACCATCAGTTTGTTCTCTGTAGTTAAGAGTCTGTTTTTTGGTTTGCCTCTCTCTCTTTTATTTCCCTTTGCTCGTTTGTTTTGTTTCTTAAATTCCACATATGAGTGAAATCATATGGTACTTTATTTGTCTTTCTCTGACCAGCCTATTTTGCTTAGCATAATACTCTCTAGCTCCAACTATGTTGTTCCAAATGGCAAGATTTCATTCTTTTTTTATGGCTGAGTAATATTTTTTTTGTGTGTGTGTATATGTATATACACACACATACACACAATAATATATATACCACGTTTTCTTTATCCATTCATCAGTCAATGGACACTTGGGCTGTTTCATTAATCTGGCTATTGTTGACAATGCGGCTATAAACATCCGAGTGCATGTATCCCTTTGAATTAGCATTTTTGTATTCTTTGGGTAAATACCTCCTAGTGCAATTGCTGGATCATAGGGTAGTTCTATTTTTAACTTTTGAAGAACCTCCATGTAGTTTTCCACAGTGGCTGCACCAGTTTGCAATCCCACCAACAGTGCAGGAGGGTTCCTTTTAATCCACATCCTCGCCAACACTTGCTGTTTCTTGTGTTTTTAATTTTAACCATTCTGAAGGTGTGAGATGATATCTCATTGTACTTTTGATTTGTATTTCCCTGATGATGACCGATGTTGAGCATCTTTTCATGTGTCTGTTGGCCATCTGTATATCTTCTTTGGAAAATGTCCATTCGTGTCTTCTGCCCATTTTTTAATTGGATTATTTGTTTTTTGGATGTTAGGGAAATGTAGACTTCTGAGGGAAAAGTGTAAGTTGAAGAGGCTTCCTATACTAAATGGGATGTTCTCTAAGAATAAGAACACCTATTGACTAGTAGAGTCATTATGGGTTTGGTAAATCACAGGAACCAAATTAAAGATATTTAACATTTTTAGAAAAGCCTTTCCTCCCCACCTACATATAATATGGAAAATGCATTTCAAAAAAGTACTTTCTTTCATAAGAATGTCCATATGAATTTCATAGGACACAAGGGAGGTAATTAATCAGCATTTCTTGTTTGTTTATTTTTTAAGAAAGAGAGAGAGTGTGTGTGTGGGGGCGGATGGGGGGCAGAGGGAGAGGGAGAGAGAATCCCAAGCAGGCTCCACATCCAGCACAGAGGCCGAAGCAGGGCTGGATGTCGCGACTCTGAAATCATGACCTGAGCTGAAATCAAGAGTCGGACACTTGACTGTGCCATCCAGGCACCCATTAATCAGCATTTCTGAAAAATATTCACAAATTACACAGGAAAAGGCAAGCCAAATTATGATAATAATATACCAGGAAATCTAATTGGCTAAAGAAGAAAAATCGGGCAAATTTCAAGAATGCATGAATATTGAGTTTTGCCACAGTCAGATTATCATTCCTACAGAGAAACATGTAGCTTCTGAGGTGTATTTTTTCCTAATTTCAATAAAGTTAAATTGTTTGTATTTACATTGTGTTAAACGTGATAGTTTCCAGCATTCAATTTGTTTCTTCATTCCATTTTGTTTTTTCCCTATAACACACTTAATTTATTCTGAGGTGTTTAGCTCGAATAGTGCTAAGAATGAAACACTGGAGCAGTGCCTTCTGGAAAAACACGATTAAAGTAGTTTTCTAATTTCCTAACACCAGACCTAGTTAGTTGATTGTTTCCTGAAACATTAACAAGATTTAAAAAATAGGTTCTAGGGGCGCCTGGGTGGCTCAGCCGTTTAGCGTCTGCCTTCGGCTCAGGTCATGATCCCAGGGTCCTGGGATCGAGCCCCGCGTCGGACTCCCTGCTCAGCAGGAAGCCTGCTTCTCCCTCTCCCACTCCACCTGCTTGTGTTCCTGCTCTTGCTAACTCTCTCTGTGTCAAATAAATAAATAAAATCTTTAAAAATAAAAAATTTTTAAAAAATAAAAAAAATAGGTTCTAAAAATTCCAGTAGATCATAGTGATGTTATAATGACCTTTCTGATTAATTAAATTGACGATTAGAAGGCATGACACTTCATAGCAGCCTGCCCAAGATAGGTTCATGTATGAATGGAAATAGACACTTTATAAATTGAGTTAATAGCACAGCACAACACAGAACACCTTAAGATTCGTTCTGCAAGTAAGTAAAGACGAATTAGACTAAAAGAAAGTTTGATAAGTCAAACAACTAATTCTTGTTTGACACAGGAAGGAAAACCAGAAATACAGAGACAAACATTTAAGACATCTGACAAAAAGAAAATGGAAATCATAAATATGTCAAATTCAGAAACCTGAATGGCATATAAAGCGTAAATGCAGATGAGATTTTAAAAATTGAGACTCAAGATTTGGAATCTCTAAATGAATATTGTTCAAGGAAAATGGAAGTGAAATGCAGAAGTTGAACGTCTAATTGAAATGGGCAATCATTGAAATTTTACTAATTATCCAAAAAATTATCTTCAGAAAAACTCCAGACTAGAAATATCAATATGTAAAAATGTTTTTTTTTTTTATTTTTTTAAAGATTTTATTTATTTATTTGACAGAGAAAGACACAGCGAGAGAGGGAACAC